TTTTTTTTTTTTTTTTTCTTTGTTTAATATTATTAGATTTGTAAACTCGTGTTTGTGTTATATCAGGCAATAATTGATGCAACCTCTAGTACTTGATTATCTGAAAATATCAATCATTACTTTACAGTAATCGCCGGAATTAGTCACGTTGTACATGAAGGCTACGTTTCCTCCTTCTGCCAATAAATCAGCGTATACTGTCATGTTGGTCCGATTCTGCATCGCGCTGTCGGTGATCACATACAACCACTGATTATCTGGACGGACCATCTTCAAGGACCTCGCCTTAAAAAAGAAAGTGCCAACCTAAGAAAATTCCTCCGGAAATTCTCGAAACCAGTAATATTTATTTTCAAAAAGCTATTTCACTAAGAAAGGTAATACGTAAATGCACACAAGAAAAGAAAAGATCCGCAGTGTTTTATAAGAAACGAATAGTATTCATTTGGTTCAATCTGATTAATATCTATATATAAAATTTTATACTTTATATCTCACCACACCCATCACGTCAGCAACCATATCGATAGTAGCAATAACCAAGAAACAATGTCCTAGTTGTTCCACGTGGAAATTGTCCAATACCTTCTTCACCGAATTTCTTCTCTCGCTCTTCGTAGTCTCGTGTTTCAGCGTGAAAATCGACCTGGAGATTATGTTCAATTGTTTGTTCGGTAGCTTGTCCGAGATGGCTTTCATTACTCTGCTGATCGTGTCTCTGTCTGAAACGATCCGGATTAGAAATACAAACAGGATTAGATAAAATGGGATCTGTGTGCCATTACTATCGAGTCGCTCTTATTACCGAACGTATCGTCGTGGAGGATATTTATCATTTTCCACGTTAGAATGTTCATCATCCTCAAGTCGAGGAAAATCTGTGACAATTCGTCTCCTGGCACGATCAGTGGCACGCTCATGCCATCCGTGTCTGGGATTCGGGGACAATCTGGATCTTGAAAAGATAAACTTAAGTTTTCTTATTTATTTACTTATTTAGAATTAATAATTTATTATCCAAGGTTTTTCTAATTTAGCATGTTCAAAAGATAGCATTTATGCATTATATGGGTACCTGTTATAGCAAAATGTATCAATTCTTCCTTTCGTGCGTCTTCGTGCAGGTGCCATGTTAAGTAGCAAGTGGCGACAGATAGAAGGATTGTGTAGTCTTATGGTGATTGAAAAACAATTGGGAGTTAATGAATACTCGAAACGATGATTGATCATATTTGAAAACAGAGAGTTTACCTTGTCGTAGATTAACGTTCGTATCGCGAAAGATATGAACAACTATGCCACCTATCTGCATTTCCTTTTTCACGATGTCTGTGATCAAATCGTGCATCATTCCCGTGACATTTCGGTATTCGTCTCTGGTGGCAAAGAGGCTTTTGTCGATGATGACCGCTGTTTAAAAAAATTCTATTTCACTGAACTTAATTCAATTCTACTTCTTCCTAAGGATAATGTCACTCGAAAGAAGAGCAATTTCCGCATTTCTCTTCTCTCTTCTTTCTCCTTATTTTAAGAGGAAAATCACTCGTACCCATAGTGGCGTTCTTGGTGATCAAAGATGGAAAATCGTTGTAACTGTTCCCATAATTGACACACCAGAGGAGCAACAGAACCGATATCATTTCTATTGACAAACTGAAATAACAACACGTCGTGTTGCTCGTACAATATATAACCGAAGCCACCTGTGAATAATGTATCACTTCATTAGTTGGCCGACTCGTTATTACAAGCCGAACTGACCGCGATCACGGCCCGACCGGGTTTAATGCAACTCGATACACCGCGAATCAGAAGAAAGGTCAGTTCTTTAATAACTAACCACCGAACGATCGAATCCCCGTGAAATTGAAACGAGACATTGTTTAAGCCTGATTGCGTGTGCTATCGAACTCATCGCGAAATTCATCCTCAAGCTTTTCAATATTAAATATAAAATTCTCGGGAAAATTTATCAGAACGAGAGATCATATTTCATTCC